GCATCAAAGAACAAAGAACAAAAATTAAAATATCTTTCTTATACACATATGTATTTGGATTTGTTTCTCTAGTCTACACAAATTAACACATTGTGGCACCAGGAATGGGGTACTAGAGAAGCACGTCATAATGATGGAGAATAAAGTTTGTTTGACCTCTCCCTCATGGTACAGTTCCTTCCTTGGCTAGCCAGAAGACAGATATGTACTTGCAGTTTACTGAGTAGTTTTCTGGAAAGAATATGGGAAGTTAAAGTTTTGATAATTGCATTTGGTTGTAGTCTGGTTATTCGTGTTTGAAATGGTGAGAATGAATGTGAGTAATGTATATTTTGAGCTCAGGGGTAGAAATCGGCATTTGAATTTCTCAGAGACCATGCTTGTTAGAGAAAATGGTTGACAGGAGGTCAAAATGGCTGGCAGAAAGCCTTACTCTGGCTTGATACTCTCTAGAGGCCTAATCCCATATTTTAGTACAAATAGAATAGTTTAGATAAGGATTTAGATAAGCTAAATAAGGATTGAACTTGACTGTTTTAAGAACTGAGTTTAGTATCTGGTTCTACTTTGTTTATACTGAGTTCCTCTGTTTATTATTATTGATAATAATGAGTGAGAGAACTGTTGATTGGGAAGTATAAAAAAAGAGTTTGTAAGCCCACTTTCCTCGAGCCATTAATTTGATCTTTAGATGTGTCTAGGACCCAAAGCAGTCTCTGAAACCAAAGCCCCAGCCAGTGCTTTGGCATACTCAGGACATTTGCATTCCAAGAGACTTGCCTGGGGACAAGACTGAAAGATGGAAGATTTTTTTAAAAAGCAACTCTTTGGATTTGAAGTTTGTACTCAAGTGGTTTTTGTCAGAAGCTGGAAAAAAAATCTGGAACCATGAATAAATCTGTCTAGAAATGAACGTTAAAGGAAGCCTATGGGCAGACTGAGATGCTTCCTAGGTGACCATCTGGATCAACTTGTTGAGTGGAAGTGGGAGAAATACAGCAATAGAGAGTTGGGTTGTGCCTGGCCACTGACACCCATGGACCTGGTTTACAGGAACTAGAGAAGAAGATGAGTGGGTTGACTTACCTGAAATTCATGACCTACCTGGTGGCACAAGGGGCTAGGGTTGTTGAGAATTTGTGATGGTGACCAATGGGCACCCTGTTGAGTCTAAGAGAGTCAGCCCACATTGAGTTGACCAGAACCCCAGTAGATGAAGAGATTTTTGAGCCTGTGAAATGGTGCATATTGCTGTTGACTTTACGGATGGCCTATCCTGATTTTACTTTGCTTATGGATGTGGATTTCACAAGGTTCCAACTGGAATAAAGATTCTTCACATTGAAAAACATGATTCTCTCCTCAGAGCACTGGGTTGATGTAAGTGGGCAGTATAGAAATTAGATACCCAAAATTGGGGGAATAAAGGAATGAAGTGGTTGGCTTACGAACTTTCATAGATTGGTGAATATATTATTCAGAGGATTATAGGATGAAGATGTTGGTGTTATTTAACTGTAATTGTTAGGCATAGGATATTTTTGTTTTGTTCACTTATAAAATGTTATGTTTAAATGAGAGTGGAACATATCGAATTGTATGCATTTTAGTTTTATCCTGTTAAGTACAGATATGATTTTATTATTGTTTGTTTGAAAATTATATATGGCTAAAGAGTTATGTGAAAGTGTCAAACTGACAAGGGGTGGTCTGTGGTAGTCAACTAATCTGGTGTCAATTTGAGGATTAAGTGTGTAGGGGTA